TCTATCCTTCCCTGTGTAAGCAGTGAGGACCTCTATCCTTCCCTGTGCGGTGTCTCTCTGTGGCCTGAGCTCCTCAGAGGTTGGGAAAATAGAAACGAGCCAGTTCTAGTTCTCTCCCCAGGTCTGACCCTCTCCTGATACATTTGACTGTGAGCTCAAGGCCTATTTATATACGATACTGAATGCTAACCGGGTGGTGATACCAAAAGCCTTTAATTCCAGTGCTCAGGAGGCAGAGGCAGGTGGATCTCTGAGTTCGAGGCCAGCTTGGTCCACAGAGTGAGTTCTAGTAGCCAGGGCTACTCAGAGAAATTCTGTCTCATCTTCCCCTGAAAGAATACTGAATGTTAACACGGCCAGTGTTAGTACCTTGCTGAAATATGAAAGGAGGCAAGATTCAGAAAGTTGTTCCCAAGCGAAGGTTTTCTGAGGTACAAAGGAGCGATGGAATAAGTAGCCCTGTATTTTGCAGGAAGAAGGACCTTCAATGTAGCTTGACTGACAAGGGGACGGGCCACAATTAAATAAATCTCCCTGTTGGTTAACTAACCAGTAATGAAGAAATTGAAGTTCCTGGAGAAACAAGGACTTGCTTACCGATAATCAAGAGTCTAGGTGGAATTACCTGCTCCCAGTTTGCAGGACCAGGGGAAGTTTGTGCATAGCTGCTGGCAGGTCTCATTGCCACCTTGCACCCATGAGACCCTGCTCTTGTTTCCCAAGTTCTGCTCATTACAGAGCCTTGTGGTCCCACCCACTTCCCGAGGTCACGACTCTGAGGCTGCATCCTGGAAACATAGCTTAGGTAGCTTTTGGCAAGGGGGAAGTGGCTGTTTAACGACTTGGTTTCAAAATCATCGTCAAAAGACTCTTACATGTCACTAGTGTCATACTCGGTCACTAACCATGAGTCCTGTCCGTCTGGACCGACCGTAGCCCATGGCCAGTGTCTTACAGAGCAGTGCCACTTCTGTTTGGCTGTCAGGTTCCAAAGGTGGTAGCGGCTGTGGCTGCTGCTCGACTGGTAGCATGCACACAGCTGGGCTGGAGCTGAGAACACCATACGAGCCATGGTGTTCGGGTGTGCACTCCTACAATCCCAGCACTGGAAGGTGGGGGCAGGAGAACGGAGAGTGGAGGCTAGACTGGGGTGCATAGGACCCTGTATTAGCTCCCCTTCTTGGGGAAGGCAGGAGTGATCTCAGTGCCCTTTAGCTTTGTCCTTTCAACTATGGAGAGATGGCTCGTGGTTAGGAGCACTGCTGTCCTAGAGGACCAGGGATCAGACCATCTGTAACTTCAGTTACAGGGACCTGACATCTTTGTCCTCCGCAGGCACCAGGCATGTATGCGGTGGACAGACATACATTTGGGGAAATCACCTAAACACATTAACTTTTATTTTAAAAATAATAGTAATTATTATTATCATCATATTATATTATTAATTTAACACAGGCTCTGGACATTCCGGAGCTCACTATATAGAACAGGCTGGCCTTGAACTCACAGAATTTCCACCTGCCTCTGCCTTCCAAGTGCTAGGATTAAAGGCAAGCACCACCATGTCTGACCCTTCTCCCCAAATAATAATAATGATGATGACAATAATGTTGATACAGTTGTTGTCCTTTATTCTGAATCCTCTTGAGACTAGAAGGGTCCTCGGTGGAATATTGGTGACCCTCATGTGTCCCTTTTTCTGTGATGTCCTCTCTTCTTTTACATATGTCCAAAATTTTCTGTTTTTGTCTTAAAAATGTAGTTTCTGTTCCAAAATCGCAGCGGCTATTGTGGAAGGTGCCTTTGCCATACCTGGAGTTGGCCCTCACACGGAGCTGCTGAGCAGGAATTCTGTTTCCCCCAGCACACTCCTACCACAGCAGTAATTAGAGGGCTCCTCCCTTTTCATCCTTCCGAACTGTGCCAGTTCGGCACCCTGCATAGGTTTGTCAGTTTTATTGCCGCTGCTTGAAATGCTTAATCGGCATTAATCATATAATACGCATGCACGGCTGGGGACACCTGCCCAGGCAGGACATCGTAGCTAGAATTCACTTGCAAGGGAAGCAAAGGGCTGTTCAAGCATTCATCTTCAGCCAAGCGTTCACCTTAGCTCTGACGTGTGTCCACGTGCTCCTTCTGAGCTGAACACAGCCCACTAGGACGCGGCAGCAAGTTCTGGAAATATCACCTACATATTTCTGTGCTAAGGAAATGCCATCTCTCCATCCACTGACCACGTCAGCGGTGCATATCCCCTCGGACTCCATGCCAGGGGGACTTTGAGGTTCATTCAAAAATCCTGATCTTTAGTGGAATGTAAGATCGTGTCTCAGACAATTTGGGAGTTTTTCAGGGTGTTTACCCTCTGGCTTTCAACATGTTTTGTTTGTTTTTGGGGTTGGTTTTGGTTTTTCAAGACAGGGTTTCTCTGTAGCTTTGGGGCCTGTCCTGGAACTAGCTCTTGTAGACCATGTTGGCCTTGAACTCACAGAGATCCACCTGCCTCCTGAGGGCTGGGATTAAAGGCGTGAATGACCAAATTGAAAGTTTCTTAAGATTATTAATGTACCAATAAATTTATATCAATAAAGCAAAATCCTAAAAAAATTATTAATGTACCCAGATACATTGATAATTAACTGTACCATGGGGAAATGCCTTAGAAAGCAAACATACTAACATGTTTTGCGTGGGCCACCACAGAGTTAGCAGACTGGTCCTCCCAACTTCAAAAGTGTAATTCACTGGGGACATTATGGGACAGAGAAGACAGCTCAGCAGGAGAGGTAAAGCCTGGTGACCTCAGTTAGATCCCTGGAGTCCAAGTGGTGGAAAGGAAGCAAAGGGCTAACTCCCACGGTGTCCTCTAACCTACAGTTGCACGCGCGCGTGTGCGCGTACACACACACACACACACACCATGGTGCACACTGCACATACACAAATAAGAAACTAAAATTTAATAATAACAAACTTTATGATTCCACCAATGCATGTCATTGTGTGTGTGGGGGGGTGGTTGTTGTTATTGAAACAGTCTTTATACATAGCCAAGGCTGATTCAGAACTCATTATGTAGCCTAGGCTAGCCTCAAGTTTATGATCCTCCTGCATCAGACTATGGAGGTCTGAGACTAAAGGCAAGTGTCCTGTGCCTGTCCTATTTCCCAATAACCAAATAATGAGTCTTTGGTGCACACACTGCACACATTCACACATTCTCTTGCACACACTGCACACATTCACACATTCTCTTGCACACACTGCACACATTCGCACATTCTCTCTGACAAATCGGCCTAGCTTCCTCTGCTATCTGGATTTGGATGTCCTTGTCACTCTCTGTAGCACTGTGAGATTGGCAGCTGTGACTCAGACTAGGACAAGCACAGCCTTGGCCAGTGAAATTTACCCCAACACTTTTTGTTCAAGAGATTATATACTTAGTTTATTTTTTTTCTGTTTTGCATTTTCATTTACACCCAGAGACCCGGCTGCTGGGGAGTCCGAAGCATCCTTTCTGACATGCTTTTGCACCTTTGCCTCTAGCAGATCACAGAGAAGATGCAGTTTCATGTCTTGGAGGATGTCTTAGTTTGCTTTCTAGTACTTTGATAAACACTATTCCCAAAATTAATCTGGAAAGGGAAGGGTTTATTTTGACTTTCAGTTGTCCGTAGTGAAGCGAAGTCAGGACAGGAGCCTGGAGGCAGGAATTGAAGCAGAGGGCATGATGGAACTCTGTGCACTGGCTTGCTCTCACGGCTTGCTCAGCCTGCTTTCTTATACCACCCAGGGCCACTTGTCCAGGGATGGCACCGCCCATAGTGGGCTCCCCCTACCCCACTGCAATCATTAATGCCCTACGGCCTTGCCTATAGGTCATCTGATGGAGGCATCTTCCCAACTAAGGTTCTTCTACCCAGGTGACTGGCTTGTGTCATGTTGATAAAATTAGCCAGGACAGGTGAGCAGGCAGCGGTTTATCAACTGTTCGTTTTTCATCTTCCCAAACCACATGTTGGAAAAAATTAGCGTCACTTGCCTGACTATAGAATTAATCTTAAAAGTCTGTATAGTTTGGATCTGAAAGTCCCCTTTAGGGTCACACTTGGGAGCATTGGTTCCTCCCTGGTGGTTTCTCAGGCTGTAGGACCAGTTTTAGGAGGTAGGGCCCAGAAGGCAGAAGTAGCTCAAAGAAGGTGGGATTTTTGTGGGGTGGATGTTGAAATAGGGTCTCTCTTACATAGCTCTGGCTGTCCTGGAACTCACAGATATCTCCCTGCCTCTGCCTCCCTAGCGCTGAGATTAAAGCCCTACACCACCATGCCTGGTGAGGATGGGCTTTTGAAACACACAACAAATCCTCAAAAAGTGGTTCATCATCTTGCAGCCAGTCCAGGTCCCTTGCCTTACACCCCTGGCTCCATGAACCTTCTCAGTCTGACTAGGATTGAGAGGACAGATCCTATCACCTAGGTGTACAGCCAGTTAAAAGGGCATCCTCTGTCCATACCGGTACTGAATGACCAAGATGATGGAGCTAAATCCGGTTCAGAGCCAGTTCCCCTGTAGCTGTGGGGCAATCAGCTGTCTAGAGAAGCCGCCGCTCTGATTGACTGTTACCCATCCAGAAACGAGGTCAGCTTTCCTTGTGCAATGGCTTCGGTGGTTGTTTTCACACTGTGACCCATGGGTCCTCGGGTAAGTGGATTCGTGGACTCTCGCTTTGTGTCTCACTCTCTGGAGCTGTGCGGGAAATAAACAATTCTAATAACCACAGAACTGGGCTGGACTGACGGCTCAGTGGTTAAAAGGGTGGACTGTTCATCCAGAGGACCAGGGTTCTGTTACTAACACCCATCCTCAACTGTCTGTAACTACATTTCCAGGGGATCTGATGCCATCTTCTGGTCTCCCTGAGCACCAGACACATGCGTGGTGCATGGATATACATACAAAGAACACATGCATAACTTTAAACACTTAAATACAGAACAGTGGGCTTGTGAGCCGGCCTAGGTCTCAGCCTAGCTCCCACAAACAAACCCAGGCACTGCTAGCTGGTTGTTAAGGTGGCTTCCCTGACGCTGCCGAGTTCTGCATTCTCAGCTCTGAGAAGGGGTTTCCGGAAATGTCTTCTGCCTTGGGACTTCCTTGTTCTCCCACTTCCCAAAGAGTAAGTTCAACTCCATTCTGCTCTGCCAACCATCTCTCTGTCTCAGGAAAAATTAAAAATAAAAAATAGATGTATATCTTTAAAAATCACAGTGCCTCAGGAGGCAGAGGCAAGCAGATGTCTGTGAGTTTGAGGCCAGCCTGATCTATGGAGTGAGTTTCAGGACAGCCAGGGCTACACAGAGAAACCCCGTCTCAAAGAAACAAAAACAAGCAAACAAAAAGGGTCACAGTAGTATAAAAAGACGTTGTGGAAAAACAATTCCTTCCTTGCCTCCTTCTCTCCCCTCTTCCAGTAAAGGTGACATTTCCTGCAAATGTGTGTTCCTGTCCCTCCTTTCTTTGAAAGAGGCAGCAAACACTCTCTCCGTCTGGACCTGCTTCAGTTAGTGGTGTCAGATCAGGAACTGAAATCAGTACCTAGAACCCTCCCTTCTCGCTCCCCGTAGTTCCTGTTATATTTAGCGCATCACGTGACTCGCACATACGCGGTCTCCCAGTGTCGGGCATTTGGGTTATTTCCACACTGCGGCTGTGACTGTCTCTTCTGCATAGACGTGCGCATTCCTTACAGCGTGTGCTTAGCTGTCGTGGGGGTGGGTGGCGGCGCAAGTCTATCGGCTTCTTGAAAACTCGCGTCAGAGTCTGTTGTCCATCTTTGGGTTTGGGGAGCCCCACCAGTCTGTAAATGAGCAGAAAAACGGCTTACTTTTAGCTTACATTTCTCTTTGGGTTTGATTTCATTTCTGTTCATGTGTTTAATTAACCTTTTAAAATTTACTTATTTATTGATTTATCCTGCTGAGCGCCCCCCCTCCGTGTGTGTGTGTGTGTGTGAGTGTGTGAGAGCGTGTGTAAGTGTGTGTGTGTGAGAGCATGTGTGAGTGTGTGTAAGTGTGTGAGTGTGTGTGTGTGTGTGAGAGAGAGAGAGTGTGTGTGTATGTATGTGTGAGTGTGTGTGAGAGCATGTGTGAGTGTGTGGAAGTGTGTGAGTGTGTGTGTGTGTGAGAGAGAGTGCGTATGTATGTGTGAGTGTGTGCTTCAGAGGGGAACTTTCAAGTGTTAATGCTTTTCTCCCACAGCATGGGTCCTAGAGATCAAATTCAGGCCATCAGGCATGTCCTTACTCACTGAGCCATCCCACTGGCCTTTATGATATTATTATTATTATTAATTTTTTTTATTATTAATTACTGTTGATAGGGTCTCTCTACGTAGCCCAGGCTGGCCTCGAACTCACAGAGCTCCACCTGCCTCTGCCTCCTGAATACTATGATTAAAGTCATGCGCCACCACACTGTGCCAAAAACTTGTTTTTTATGTAATGGATTTAGCCATTTTATTTATGGTTTCTGGATTTTTTTTTTTTAACTTACAAACATGCCTTTGCAAACATATATGTGACCACTAGAGGGGGAACGAATCCGAATTTAACAGAGAAAAACATCTCCCAACCGCGCCCTTTTGCTTTGGAAGAGTTTAGACTTCTCTCCAGCGCAGTGTCCGTGTGGGTATAGTTTCTCCCACACAGACTGCACACACTGGGGCTGACAGTCCCTCCTGGGCCCTGATGGCCTTTCCCATAAGCCCCCAGGAGTCAGCCATCATAAGTGGCAACTAAGCTACTAGAGGTGGTAGGTTCCTTCGCAGTTCCCTGTCTGGACTCTTGCCTTGGACTCTGGGGGGTCAGCTCTCGCCTCTAGGAGCCTCTTCCTGCGACCACGTCTGCCTTTTCTCACAGCGGATTCAGGGGCTTTGAAGTCAAACTCATCCCCAGGCAGCTATCGACCGCCTGTCATGTCTGCTGCTTAAGCCACAGTTAGCCAGCTTCCTACACTTGACCCTGTAATTGAATTTCCTTGGGAACTCAGTGACAAGATTGATTCTTCCTAATTGAGTCAGAGATGGACTCTGGGCGCCATTCATACTGTCCTTGTTTGCCTGGGGCTCTCTGGGCTGAGGCCCCAGACTTTCACAGCGTTTACTTCAGTTGTCAAGACCCTTTTACTTTAAATGATCCTGTAGACATTTTTGGGGGGAGGCAGGCCTTAGTGAGCAGAGGACAGAGGAAATGCCTGTTTTTAAGTTTGCTTTGCGTTCTCATTCAAGTGCAATTCTAAGAAAAGAAACGAACCAGAACAGAACGAAAGTCCAGCCTTGTTCAACAGCGAGTTTGGAAATGAGTGCAAAGTCGGCCGACTTCTCGCGAGTCAGCAGCTTAACCGTTTCTCCTTCTGCAGGGCTCCCGATATGACTCAGTAAGAAAGCACCAGCCAGGGGAGAGGAGGGGCTGGCTGATCCCTGGGGACTAAGTTCCAGTAAGACAGCCGTGAGACGTTCTGGCTATGTGGTAGGTGCTTAGACAATAACAACACACTAATATTCCAAAAGGGTAGAAGAAAGGAGCTGGGGTGTTCTCAGCTGCAGTTTTCAGACAGCACAGATCAGGAGCCCCTGACCCTCTCTAAGGTTATTTGGCTTAAGGTTAAAAATTATCAGGAAAAAAAAATTGCTGGAAAGAAGTCTTGAACTGTGTGTCAAATCTTTGTCACATGCGCCCCTTACACACTTCTCCTTTCAAAAGATAGGTGGAGGACTTGATTGACAACTGTCGGGCTTTCCCAAAGTCCAGCTGAAGCTACAGTTAACAAGGACAAACCAAGCACCAACCCAGAACTGCAGAGACAAAGCCTGAGTCAGGGTCCCCAGCTATCGCCTCCACAGTTCCTGAGTCTGCAATATTGCCCCTGCGACTGAAGGGCTTGCGGCCATTCCCACAGAGGCTGTGGGAGCTGCTAATCCAGTAGCCTCAGTTATTTATCCAGCCTTTATCAGGACAATCATAGACCCTCATAGCCACCTGCAGGAGATTAAAATCTGGCCAATGATGCCGGGAGGAGACCTCAGTCAGTTGCTGAACTGACACAGCTGTCTTCACCACCACCCTGAGGCTGAGCTGTGTGGGAGCCTCTGCCTAGGCCACGGCAACTTCAGCTGATGCTCAGAGGACGGTGTCCCCTGGATCTTCCGATGTCCCTGCCCACACGCGCTTCAGCCTTCATGATGACAAACTTAACTGAATGAGGAAGACGTTGACAGCTAGTGCAAAGGACTGGCTGAGTGAAGGGGGCTCTGCTGGCATTCTGGGAACTCTGCTGGCATTCTGGGGGCTCCGCTGGCATTTTGGGGGCTCGGCTAGCATTCTGGGGGCTCCGATGGCATTCTGGGGGGCTTGGCTAGCATTCTGGGGGCTCCGCTGGCATTCTGGGGACTCTGCTGGCATTCTGGGGTCTCCACTGGCATTCTGGGACCCTCCTTGCTATAAACTGTCTATATATATTTTTTTTTAATCACAGATGGAGTTTTATCTAACTGTCTTTTGTCTTTTATCACAGGTAGAGTAGACCAAGCTAGTTGCATGCAGGGGCTGCTAATCCCAGACACACAAGCCACCTATAGTGGAGGACAAAAGAGTCCAGTGAACAACTGTGAGCAGAGACTTTGGGGAGCTGAAGCTGGGAAGGACTGCTGGGGTGCAGCAAAGGAGAGCGATGCCAGTGAGTAGAGACTTCAGAAGATAGAAGGCTGTAAAGGACCGAGACTGAAGTTGAGCGACTACTGATGGCCAGCGGTAAACATTCAAAGGTCCTGACAGCTGCAGAGAAGCTGCCCAGAGCTGTAAGACCACAATGTCCTAACAAAAGCAGAGCTATGTAGCTGTCTGCTGGGTCACTGACACCCCCAGCTTAGAGCTACCTGCATACTGCTCCACAACTTGAATGAAAGCCATTGTCTCCAAAGGTGACAGCCTCAGACAGGAAAGAGCAACACTTCAGGCCCTGAACACCAGGGGGCGTGCGAGATTCTGGTTTCCTTTACCCGATAAACCAATTCTCCAAAAGACCAGTTGGGTGTCCTCTAATCCAGTCTTCTAACTCAGCTTGTAGATAGCATCAGATTCCACAGGCTAAGGCCTGAGTCCCCCAGACTGACCCACCATTCAGCAGAGCCGAGGCTCCAGATTCACTACCTGTAAATTTCCAGTGAGAGCGCTTACATATAGGCCCACTCGCCACAGAATCATAAGCAGTGATATCATTTTGTTTAAGCCATTCCGTTTTAGGCAGTTTGTAATAAAGCTACGTCTAACTGCAGCAATATGGTCACCAGAAGGCAGAAGGTATGGCTGGCTAAAGACGCTGCCCGAATCATCCCTGGTCTAATGTCTTATACCAGGACCCGAGCGTTTGCTTCATCGCCTACATTTAGAACTGCTTAATTCACCTCCTAGGCAGTTACCTGGCTTCGGACATCATAAAACGAGGAAACTGGGTGGGATGGCGCATGCTTGGAACTCTAATACTGAAGACAGTCACACAAGCATCCAAATATGATGTCAGCATGAGTTTCCTGAGAAGATTCTATCAAAGAAAGAGGTTGGGGAGACAGAGGGGAGGGAGGAGGAGACAAAGGAAGAGAGAGAGAGAGAGAGAGAGAGAGAGAGAGAGAGAGAGAGAGAAACAGTAGAAAATGGAACTAGCCATGCAGATCGGAAAATACATTCCTACCTGTCTTAAGCAGGACTTTAATGCTGTGTCCACGTGACACACCTCTGACCTCTGTAGTTGGTGACTGTAAATAGCTGGTGTTTATAAGTGATTGAAAACAAAAACAATTGTAAATATTGTTTATATGCTATGTTATATGTTAGTAAGAGATATATGGGCAACAGAGGAAGGGAAACAATATCCCAACTCGACACCACACACTAGCCACCAAAGTCTCTATTACCAGGAATGGTTACCTCTTTTTGAGTTATTGATCAATGGGATCCAACAGACCCCCAAGAATGATAAACTATTACCAATACGCTCATTAACCCGCCAAAACATGGCAGTAAGACCCCATTGAACACATACATTGTATGAAATCTTCAAAAAAATGTATGGGGCTGGGGGGATGTCTTAGTGGTTAAGAGGACATGTAGCTCTTGCAGAGGACCTGGGTTCAATTCTGGGTTCACAACCCTCTGGAACTCCAGTTCTAGGGGCTCTGACACCCCCTTTGGTCCTCCACAGGCACCAGGTACACGTGGTGTACCTGTGTGTGTGCAGGAAAACACATGTTTTTAAAAAAAGTCATGTAAAGGACTTAGCAATAAAATCATGGCGACTCCCTAAAGACTGCAGAGGAGAGGGCGGTGAGCTGCTGGGGAGATGAACCTGGGGTCCTTTGTGCCGCACCCTGGGTCTCTTAGGCTTCGACTGTCTCTGGTAATTGTGGGGCGGTTTTCACTTCATTTGCCAGGCGTGAAAGCTTGCTTTCTCCCTTCTCTTTGATTACATCGTTCTTCCTCCCTCCCTACTCCAGAAGCTTTGTTAGAATTTTTAGACCCAAGTTAAATAGGGGTGATTGTCCTTGTCTTGGCCCTGTTTTAAAGAGGAATAATTCATGTTTCCCCATTAAGTGTAATTTTGACTTTTGGTTTTAAATAGTCTTTTTGTCATGTTAAAGAGACAACCTTTTATTGCTTCGAGGGAGCATGTCAATGAAGAATCCCCTTTGGGTATTTATAGAAATAACCATATGTATTTTTACAGTATTTCCCAGAGTATTATTGGTTATGCTAACGCTTGCGCTTTTAGGAGTGGAAAAAACTAGAAATAGTAATAAGTATGCTCCTCTTAAAGTTATATTAAAGGGAGGTGAGCTAGGACACAGTGGTATAAAGGGTTGAAGGGGAGTAATGGAACAGGAAGGGTTAAATGGGGTGGGAGGTGGGAGGACATGGGAGGGGGGACAGGGGAGGGAGCCAACACTACAGGCCTTTTGAAAAGCGTCAGGAAAAGCCCACTACCTAGAAAAGTCCTAAAGTGGACACAGACGCAGAAGTAAAGGAGTCTAAAGGCAGCTGCCCTGTAACAGGGTGGTTGCCCTGTTAGACACTGCAGGCTAAAAGCCCAGTGCCAGGAGTGGGTTTCTTCTTTAGAGTTGTTGGCTAGTAAGGTCCCAAGACTTACAAGCGACTGCCAATGCTTTGGGTTACTCAACAGTAGCCCCATTGCTGACAACACCATGTACCAGAGTCATAGAACATAGGCAAACCGACCTGATACTCACCTGGAAATGCTATCCCTTCTAGTTAGCTCTCTTAGTGCTGGAAGGTTCTACACCCACAAGCAGAGGAATTTCCAGTCTTATCCAACTGGGGACCCTCCAAGCTAAAGCAATGAGTGGCCTGGCAAGACGTGACATCGAGGATAATAGTGGCAGAAAGGTCATGGGAGTAAGCAACCACTTTCTGATTTGCTTTACGTTCTGTGCCCCACATATGGCATTGATACCAGGGCCCAAACCTGTGGCTAGGCAGACCCCAGGCCCTAAAGCAGAAGCCGCTACTGTTACTTGATAAATGAACATAATATTAAACTGGCTCCTAATAACCTGTCATTATGCCTGCAGGTGAGTGCATCGCTCAGCCCTCATCAGAGAAGCTTCGTGCAGTAGATGGAAATTAACACAGAGACCCACAGCTGGTCAAGAAGCAGAGAATAAGAGGCTACAGAATGCTCGACCCTAAGGGGACATCTCTATCACACATCTCCCCTCCCAAGGCATGGGGATTATTGTGGAAGAAGGGCCGGAAAGAGAGTAAGGTGGTGGATGGACATAAAGAAACGGTGTTTCCCCCACAGCAGGGCATCAGCGCGTGTGAACTCACGGCAGTGTGGGCAATGTGACGGTGTTGCCTAAGCTCAAGCCAGACCGAATCCAGGAGCGGGAGGGAGGTATGCACAAAAACTCACCCTTAGTGAAGGAACTGTTGGCTGCTGGGAGACAGGGAGTCGGTGTTCTTTAAGGGCGAGGCCCCCAGTTGGATGACCATATTCCATTGGAAGACACACATCCAAGAGTCCATGGCAGCACCAAACATACTTGAAGGGTTAAAAAGAAAAAAAAAAAAAAGTCGGGTAGGGAAGTAGGGTAGATGAGGAACAGTGGCAGAGGGTGACTATGACCGAAACAGACTATGAACTTCTATGAACTAACAAAAAAGGAGAAAAGAGTTACGCCATATTGTGACTGCTAAAACTTTGTATAAACCTCATTTTGCATATCTATCCATTCATGAGAAGACCACACACACATCTTTGTCTGTTTTGGCTTATTTTGAGACAGGGCTAAACATAGTCCTGGTTAACCCGAGTTTATTATGTACACCAGGCTGGCCTTGAGTTTAACGTAATCCTCCTGCCTCTGCCTCTTGCATCCCGAGTGCTAGGATTACAGCCTTGTACTACCACTTATTTTTAAATATTATCTTGTGAAATGTGATTGACAATCAAATGCACTTTGTGCTATGTGCTGGGGATGAGGACCAGTGTGCACGAAGCCCCGAGTCCAACCCGCAGCATTGCACAAGCCAAGCATCCTGGCTATCCTAGCACTCAGGAGAAAGAGGCTGGAGGATCAGGAGTTCAGGAACATCCTTGGCCACAAATTCAAAGCCAGCCTGGGCTATAGGAGTCGCTTTCTCCAAAAAGAAAAACCTCATTTATAAAAGGAAATGGAACAACTTGTTAAAAAGGTGATATAAAGAGCAAAAAGTTTTAATCAGCCTCTTTGGGGGGGGCTAAAAAAAGGCCGCAATGAAACACCAAAATTGACGTTTCAAAGTAATCTCAGTTCAAAAAGAATATTTTTTTTCATGCATGGTGGGAATATAAATCAGTAAAACTTTCAACTTGTCCATACAGGGCTGGAGAGATGGCTCTCTGACTGCTCTTCCAAAGGACCCAGGTTCGATTCCCAGCACCCACATGGCAGCTCACAACTGTCTATAACTCCAGGGGATCTGACACACTCATACAGACATACATGCAGGGAAAACCCCAATGTACATTAAATAAATAAATAAATTTTAAAAATGTTGTCCATGCATACCACAAATCCCATAAAGTTGGGGACTGGAGAGAGGGCTCAGTCTTAGTGGCTATGGGTCACAACCAATCAAGTTGGGAGGTAGAAAAGTAAGAATGGTTTTTAGTTTCTTATTTCTTTTAAAAATTTATTTTAGATTTATTCATTTTACTTTATATGTGAATGCCCACTGGTTCCCATGGAGACCAGAAGAGGACATTGTGTCCCCTGGAACTGGAGTTATGCATGGCTGTGAACCCCCACGTGGGTGCTGGGGATCGAACCAAAGCAATCAGTGCTTTGAACCACTGAGCCATCTCTCCAGCTCCTGGTGTCATCCTTCTTGTGCTTTTAAATTTCTGTATCTATAAAAATACATTATTTCCATCACAGAAAAACTTGCCTGGGGCCATGAAGGGGACACACAGGCAGCACTGGAACTCATGGAACATGGCCGAGTGATTGCCAAAGCCATGCCAGAGTGAGCCTTGGAGAGGGCGAACTCCAAGGACTTCACGCTGCTTTTGAGCATAGCTCTGATGGCTTCAAGGTCACCACGTCCCTCATAGTCTATGGGCTGTCTCTAGGCCTCCACTGGGCAGTGTTACTGGTACTCACAATAGTGATTGACTTTTCCGAGCATTGCTGCTGGAGCAGATTAGCGAGTCAACCACCACCCTGAGAAAGAATTTAGACATGTAGAATTGTTAAAAGGTTAGGTTAAGGTGTTTTTGTTAATGATTTTGAGGTAGAAAACCTTGGGGAACAATTTAGCGTTTAGAAAGACATACTTTTAATGGTTGAGCAAAGGACTCGCTGAGGTCAGGGAACAAGAACAATGGCAGCCTAGCTACTGCTGGCTGCTGCACCTTTCTCGCTAGGATGGGTTGGTGATCAAGGATGGTAATTAATTCCTGTACCCATTTCTGCCCTCACTTCCTGATATAAAAACAGTTGATGAGCGGGTCTGCACCCTGAGGTTTAGAGTGGAACTGACTGGTTGTTTTTCATGTATAGGTTTGTAATTACTTTAAGATTTCTTATAAGATTACCCTTTGAGATAAGTAATAAAGTGATTGATCCTTTCTTTGTAACCGCAAGAATGCAGCCTGCCAGTAAAAGAACTGGCTGAGAAAAACACCTTGCTTGCTTCCACTCTGTTGATCTATAGCAAGTTGCTTGGGTGTGACTGTGTGAGGGTTCTTGGGACAACTTGTTTTTCACCTGGAATATGTCAGATGTTCGGTCATGTAAGGGAAATGGAAAACATGCTGTTTTTTACTTGTATTCCTTGTAATCTTTCGCTTAAAAAGTATATTGTAGCCACTTGAAAGAGTTTGCTGGGGTATGTAAGCTGTAAGGGAAAAAATAAAGTTAGCTAGAAGGAAAATGTAAGAACAGACAGAAGGGAAGCATCAGGGTGGAAGGACAGAAGAGAAAAGGGATAGAGCAGAACAAGCAGAAAGAATAATGAAATGAAGAATGGAGCTTTGGCCCTCAGAAACATCCTCATGTGTCTGTTTGTCTGTCCAGTAGTTCACCTGTTCTGCATCTCCTCTTTAGTTTCTCTGACCCGCTGAAGGCCTGCCATTCATCAGCACCCTCGGTGAGATCCTGACATGTTGGAGGTGTGTGTGTGTGTGTGTGTGTGTGTGTGTGTGTGTGCTTGTATGTTGTGAGAATTCAGTCCGATCAGTCAATGGTATAGGAGTGACTAAGCCCTATGGGCGTGATCTTCTCTGGGTATACATGACATAAGAACTGAGGACCAAGTAGAGAGCTCTCTAGGGCAGTGTGGGACTGGCAGAGCTACGGCTTGGAGTTCCATTTGGCCCTATGGGAAGAGGTTACCACACAACAGCGGAGAGCTGGTTCCCTGGTGGGATGTCAGAGCAGCTGGAGACATGACCCGAGTCCTCCTTCTGTCTTGTAGCCATTGTGTGTGGATTTGATTCAATAAAAGGTAAAACAGTCCCCAGATTCCCCACTTTATGTGTGTATGTATGTGTGTGTGTTTCCCTTTTTTCATTGACCACAGAGAATTAAATTTTACTCCCTCAGACAGTAAAGTTGAATGCTCAGTTTGCCAACTCGTGGCTACCCCTCAATCCCTGAACTGCTGAAGGCTGGTCCTCACAGCAGAAATAATTTTTTTTAATTGCTAGGTGGTGGTGGTAAGGGAAAAGAGCCAGCAAAAGAAACACACCCTGCTTCTGAGACCAGAGCCAGTGTAATAAATCTCTAGCTCTGAACCCAGAACCAAAGAAATACACCCTGACCCTGAAACTAGTGCCAAAAAAGAACACACTTTGGCCATAGAATCAGAGCCAGTGAAGGCAATATGCCTGGTCCTGAAAGTAGAGCCAAGGGTTAAAAAAGGCCAGTGAAAGAAACAGAGTTTGGCTCTGAAATCAGCCATCCCCACCCCTGACCAACTAAACTAACCAATCCCTGAGCAGGGAAAAACTAACCCTTCCCTCTTCCTCCTGGGAAAACTCCGCCCTTAAGAAGCCCTATATAAACACTGCACATGCTCTTCTTCCACCCCAGAAGAGGCACCCACTCTCCTTGATTCTTCCCTTCCAATAAATCTCCTGAAAGAGGTTTGGGTGAAGATGGTCTTTCTCCCTAACAGAGGCGGAGTGAAGCAGGGCTGTAACACCTTTACTGGGGGAGCCTTCCCCTCACAGCACCCAGTCCTTACAGCCTCACTGGGGAAGCTAGAGATAGAAGATCAAAGCAGACCAGCGCTGTCAGACTTTGGCTGGGGAAATATTCCCTTAGAGTTGCCACACTCTTGAGCAACTTCGCCAGGGAAGCCCTGTCCGGCCAGGGCAGAGCTGATACACTGGGGAAACCTTTTCCTAGAGCGGGTCTGTAGGCTGCTGTGCTTACCACGGCCTGTGCTATTCCCTGGTTCCCGACTGCCAGAACACTCTTCCATCCAGGCTGCAGCACTTAGTATTCCTTGGCTCCCAATTGCCAGAATCCCTTTCCCTCCAAGTAGCAATGCTTATAGTGATGGCCCATGACTTTAATCCCAGCACTCAGGAAGCGAAGGCAGGTGTATCTCTGAGAATCTGAGGGAAGCCTGGTCTATAAAGCAAATTCCAGGACTGCCAAGTCTACACACAGAGAAACCCTGTCTCAAAAAAAAATTTTAAATTAATAGCACTACTTATCTACATAGTAGCTGAAATGAAAAGTCACAATGACGCCAATTGTGAATTAGGATGGGGAACAACTGGTACCTCTCACACATGACTGGAAGGCGTAGGAGTTAGGTCACCCACTTTGGAAAGTTTGACAATTACTAAAGCTAACCTAGATTCACCAGCAACTTCATTACCGTCTATACATCCTACAGAAATATAAAATAAGTGCACACACCCACCAAAAACTTGCATGAGAATTTAACATTTCTTATTGCAGCCTATTGAGAATATTCTCAATATGCCTAGTAAAGGAGAGAGATCAGGTCATTTTGGTGCATTAGCAGCAGACTGTAGCTGGGAAGAGATAGTGCACGCTTTTAATCCCAGCACTCGGGAGGCCGAGGCAGGCGGATCTCTGTGAGTTCAAAGCCAGCCTGGTCTATACAGTGAGTCACAGCACAGCTGGGGCTACACAGAGGAAGCCCTGTCTCAAATAAATAAATAACCAAACAAACAAAAAACAGCAGACTGTAAACCGAAAGGATGGGTTATTAGTGTGTGAAACAGTGTGAATGAATCTCACAGATACTGTGTTGTGACAAAAAAAGAAAACAGACCAAAGCTGAGAGTGCACAGAAATGACATAGAAATTGAGGTATTACTAGACATGGGTGCTGACATGAGTATCATTACCCCAGAATCTTGGCATCCAGATTGGCCTCTTCAGGAGACAGATGTTCAGTTCCTAGGAATTGGAACCCTATCTCAAGTGAAACAAAGCATGAGATAGGTTGAATGCATAGAGCCAGAAGGACAGAAAGCAAGGCTGAGGTCATATGTAGCTAATATTGCTGTAAATTTATGGGGTCTTGACCTATTGCAGCAATGGAATACCCAGATTAACATTCCTGCAGCCCCAAAAACTCATGTTTCTGGGAAGGATATTATAGATATTATAAATGAAGTTCATCAGCCATTCAGGCTGTACAAGAACACAAAGCAACTAGCAAACCTTCAGAGATACTAACAGCCTTGCCCTTAAAATGGTTAACTGAGAAACCCATATGGGTTAAACAATGGCCTTTAATGAAAGACAAACTGCAGGCTTTAGAACAGCTGGTACAGGAGCAACTAGGTGCTCACCATACTGAAGAATCAACGAGCCCTTGGAATTATCCTGTATTTGTTGTTAAAAAGAAATCTGGAAAATGGAGAATGGTGACAGATCTAAGAGCTATCAACAAAGTTATTCAACCTATGGGCCCTTTACAACCTGGAATTCCTCTGCCTTCTCTATTACCAAAAGGATGGCCTCTTATAGTTATTGATTTAAAGGATTGTTTCTTCACTATACCTTTACAAGAAAAGGATTGAGAAAAATTTGCTTTCATAGTGCTTACTTATAATAATTCTCAGTTTACTAGGAGATACCAGTAGACTGTCCTCCACAGGGAATGTTCAATAGCCCCATCCTGTTCTAATACTTCATAAGTCAACCACTGGAAATAATATGCAAGCAATTTCCTAAGTCTATAATTTAACAATATATGAATGACATTTTGTTATCTGACTCAAATGCAGATACTTTAGAAAGAAGCAAAGAAATTTTTGCCTAAATGGGGTTTATAAATTTCTCCTGAAAAAAAGAGGAGATTCTG